CTGACGCAGGTGAGCTTCTGACAATCCATTTATCAGTTGGAGTCATAATTTTCGATTCGATAGGGTTCTTTTTGAGAAAAATCAAAAAAATTTCCAAAAAGGGTTAAAAATCAAAAATTAGTTCTTTCCCAGTGCCATACTTTTTAAGAAAAAAAAATTGAGCAAGTATGCTGCTGCACTAGAACTTTTTACAACATTTTTTCCCATCGGACCCAAAATCTCGGATTTAGGAGTGTAGTTTTTAAGAATATGATAAAATTTCACCGCGATTTTTTTGAAGGCTCTAGAAAATAGAAGCTGGAAAGAAAAAATAAAAAATTTTAAAAAGTGTCACAAAAAAATAAGCCCGTTGCTGACAAGTAACACAGAATTTTCCTACTTTTATAAAAAAAAAAAAACAGTTTTTTTTGAAATCTTCAAATTAGCGTCGTTTTTTCTTCATTGAGTGCTTATATATTGTCTTCAAAAATATTTAAATGAAAAATGAAAAAAAAAAAAATTCAAAAAAGTTGTTAATTTTTTTTTGGACTAAAAGTTTTATATTGGTTGAAAGTCTTTTTGACAAAACTGTTTTTTTACTGAATAAGTTTTTTTAGCCTAAATGGCCAATAACTGAATTACAAACACTTTAAACCAGTTTTTCTTAGCACTGGGAAAAATTTTTGGAAGTTTTTTTGATGTCGTTCGAAGCACGATGAAAGGGTTTTAATATGATATATCACTCGACCCATTCCGATGATTATTTATGGCACCTGATTTTGCAGGGAAACTAAAAAAAATACCCTTATACAAATTCTTCCTTATTTTCCAAATGTTCGGAACAAAAACCGTAAATACCACAAATTTTCATTTTTTCCTCAATTTTGTCACTTTTGTCAAAGAGGAACTTCAAGAACTGCTCATAATTGGCCTTGTTATCAGATTGATCCATCATTTTATTGAAAATTACTACGCCAAAGAACATCAGCTAAAATAACTTTATATAAAAAGTATTAAAAATGTAAAAAATTTTTAATTATAAAACAACTTTAAACTATATTGTGAAAATTTTACATTTTAATAAAAACAATTCTTTGAATTAAGCTGCTTCAAAGTTTAACAGATTACAAAAATCGCATTTGAAAGAACATGAAATCGAGTCGACAGAAATTAGTACGAAACCCACGAATCTGAATAAAAATTATTATTTTTTCAATAAGTTTAGTTGTAAAAAAAAACTATTTAACACCTAAATTGAACTAAGAAGCAGTTTACTTGAATTTTAAATAAGTGGAGCATACCAATCTTGCCTGCACTTGAAAATAATTGCAACGAATTTTGGTCATGTGATTACAGAAAAAAGTGTCATTCCCAATTTCAAGAACTCTTGCTCTCGCAAGTGAAATAAAGCACAACTTATTGAGACCATTTCCAGAAAAAAAAATCTATTTTTTTTTCAATTGATTTGAGTGATCTCCATGCTTTTAGACAACGAGCCAAAAACATCGCTTTAAAATTTTAACTGAAGTTTCATTTGTAAATGATATTTGTTAATGATTAGAACTAACAAATTTGATATAACTGATCAAACTCATAGATGTTTTTGAATCCAATGAGAATTTTTAAAATTCAAGTCCACTTTTGCAGCTCAAACTCAACCCCGTCCCCCGATGAGCCCGTTGCTTAATGAAAGCGTAATGTGTTTTCCATTTAACAACTGGAAATGAAAGCCTTACGAGGCCAAACTGTGCACTAGATAGGCGCACAATTTTGTGTCTGTATCTTCGTCGATTCCAGAGACAAGTGTTAGAACATGTTCCAGAATGTAAGTGGAGTCCACTTACAAAATTTCGGTGGGTTCCGCGTACAAAAATCTGCAAGGTAAATCTGTAACATTGATTTTAATACAGATTCGGCAACGAGCATTTATAGGTATTTGTTCCGGATTCCGCAAATGTAAACGGATTCCGCAAATTTAAGTGCAATCCGCAAATTGTTCCAGATTCCGCACATTTTGTTGCGGATTCTGCAAAGTTGTCTGTTTTTGGAGCAATTTTGAGCAATACAGTGTTTAGCTATTTGACCGTGGAAACCAAAACAGCAGAGAAGATCAAAGAAAAATAGAAATTTGCGGATGCCGGGACAAGTCTGATTTTTGCATGTTGCGGAATCCGCCTAAACTTCTTAAAATGCACAGTTTGGCCTCGTAATAAGCCAAATTGAACGCAATTGAATAAAAAGGCAATCGTCAATACTTTAAGAACATTAAGCCTAAGTTATTTAACTCAGGCAAATTCAATTAAAAACTTTTAAAAACATTCTTCAAATGTTTTACACAATTTAATCATAACGCATTATCTCAGATCAATTTTTTTCAATGGATCAAAATCGTTACACGAAAAAATTTGGTGCATACAAAAGCAGCCTTGGCAAATGTACCACCTATTCAAACTTTGAACCCACAAGAATTGCAAATGACCCAAAAGACATATTCGCTTCTCCGCACCACTGCATACTGTTAGTTGTCAATATTATAAAAAATGATTTCGATTGAACTGAAAAATACAAAAAAACCAATGGCCAAAAACCTTGAGCATGGCCAAAACTGTGACTTTTCCCTTAAGAACAACCTTAACAACCACACTTTTCCCTAGAACCACAGTCTAAACATGTCTCTTCACTTCTTTTATTGACACTTAAACTCTTAACCATTATTTCAATTCAAAATATGTCACTGAACATTGAAGTGATCAGAATTGCTATACCACATTAGTGCCGCAACTGAAAAAGTGCTCAGTAGTCCCAAACATTGATCATATTAGGAATTTGCATTTCTTTTTGTGACTAGTTGAGTTTTGCGTGAATACTGTTTTGTTATGAAGCGAAGCCGAAACTATTCGACAATTTGCTGAGTTAACCGTTGTTTTCAAAAATTTTACACAGAGGCGAAGCTGGGCTTTGCAAACACTAGTCATTACAAGACAACGCAGCTCTAATAAGTGCAAAAAGAAAAAGTAGAAAGAAGCCTCGAACTAGTAAAAACTCGGCTACGTCTCGGAGTCAGATTACGAGGCTCACGCACTAACCACTAAGCCACGTACGCTTGCCTAATGAAAAACACTAGTCACACATAAAGCACAGATCAGATGCTATGCAATTTCTAATGCGACAGTGAGATCTCCATATACTTGAACTTTCAATAAACACTTTATTTGCGTTTTGCGTCATAGAAACATTTTGAAGTGTCGTATGAAGAGTTTGAGTAGGTTACTAGCGTTAGGTAGAAAAAAAGAAGGTTCGCACTAATACACTAACGCTCGCAAACTCACTAATATGATGACGCCGAGCTTAGTTAACTTTTTTTGCTTAAAAAGCGGCATCATTTAAAATGGCCGTCTTTGTCTTTTTTAACTTTCACGCAATTGAATATGGTTAATTGTCAGTTATTTGAGGAATGGTTGAAAATCGGATTCAAAATAATTTTCGCCCCATACTGTTCAACACGATTTTCATTGATTTTCGGCACTGAAGTACCGCCCAGTAAAAATAAATGGTTCCGCGCTTTTTTTTGGCGCGATTAGAATAGATTGAACTTACTATTTCATCGAGACGGGTCTGATCGCGACAGTGAAACTATTAGGTAATTACGAGATACAGTAAACAACCAAAGCAGGATCAAGGAACCACTTAGAAAATTCTTAGCCGAATATAGATACATTTTATTACAGAAGTTAACTTACTTTACGACCAAAATGCCCTATATTTGGGGGCGTTAAACAGTGCCGAAGTACAACAGTGCCGCAAAAGGCGGGAAAAATTCAGAACAATTTACACGCACTTGCAAGAGCGGGAAATTACTGACGCTAATTAACAAAGAAAATCACTCAATTCTGGCGCCAATACGTCTGCAATTGCAAATTAAGCAATTAATTTGGCGCCAAAACTTCTAAGTTGCAAATTTTCGCGCTCAAAATCTAACAGTTTTACTTAAGATTGTACACGATCGCTGTTTAATTTTTGATTGCCGCACTTAATGTTGAAATTTATTCAAATTTTCGGCACTGTTGAACTGAGTTTTCATTTTCGGCACTGTTGAACAAAGTTTTCAATTTCGGCACTGTTGTACTTCGGCACTGTTGTACTGCCCCCTATATTTGTTTGTTTAGATCGCTATGAGGTTCACTTTCTAGATCAGACGGGGAGGGTTCTCATGCTTGAGGGACTGAATGTTTTAAAAACTTCAACCAATCAAAGTCGCTAAGCGTTTCTATTGGCTAAATGCCTTTCTCACAAAATCAAAGTCAATATTAACAGAAAATGTTTTAAATCAGTGGAAAATAAGCAAAAACATCATAAATTGCGGGTCACAACCGCATTACTATTCAGATAACCATCAAGATTATTAGGTTCAAAATCTGCTTATTATCAAATCGGTCAATATTAATCCTTAATGGCCTGGATTTAATTTCTTACTTTGAGATTTTCGCGATTTATTTTGAGATTTTGAATACTCAATTCTGATTGGCTGAAAGTAAGCTACAATTAATTTCAAGCACTCGGTCCTTCAAGCATGATCGACGTTACCGATCAGACCCGTCTCCTTGGCATTCGCCGTTAGTTTTCCGCAAATACCTGGAGTCCATCATAAATACACTTACAATGAGATGAAAAACATTTCAGAAATATATTCTCTATTTGCAATTAGTAAATTACAATTTGATTAAATTCTTAACCAATCACGCAAAAATAATTGACAACACAATTATTCCGCTTACATTTTAGTAGAATTAATTAAGCAAGGATTCGTTCAACAGTACCGAAACTGTAAATGTGTTCAACAACGCCAAAAATTGAGGATATTTGAGTTCTGTTTGCAAATTGTCTGCAATTTGTTTGAATACTGGTTTTGGAGCGAAACTGAAAAAATGGACAATTTGCAAGAAAAATTTGTAACGCCGCTCTTGGGAACTTTTGTTTGTTTAACAATCGGCATCAATTAAAATGGACATTTTGACTTTTCAACTTCCGTCGATTTGAATAAATTTTCTAGTCAGTGATTTGGGATCAGTAAAAGCAGCACTCAGAATAATTTTCGGCACTTTTGAACAACGTTTTCCTTTTCGGCACTTTTGCACTTCGGCACTGTTGTATTTCCTTATTAAGCAATTCAACGGTCGCAGACCTGTGCATTTGTTATCATTAAGAGCAGGAGCCGAATTCAAATATATTTTCACTCCGCAAATTTTACGACTGATAAAAAGATAGGGCTCGCCCTTTTACAAAAAAATGTATTTAATCAACAGAGAAACCACGGCGTTTCCTCTTTCTATGTTTAATTTGGTGACAGCAAAGTAATATAAAACTGTACACAAAATCTGATAAAACTACTTACCTCAAAAATCTAGATCAGCTCTTGCTCTTGTAGTTTAGTTAAATTTTATAATTTTTACAGTTTAGTGATTGTGACATAATTTGGGGTTCTGTCTTCGTGAGTTATCTACATGTGTTCAGGGTGGTTTTGAAGACACTCAAATATCTGGTCTGCTTTCATTTGTCGTTGTGAGACTCTGTGGATGGCAGCAAATAGAGGGTACTTCTCTACATCTGCAGGACCTTTCGCCTCCAACATCTTATACACTTTCTCTGCGGTCTGATGACCCTGCAGTTTCTGACCATTCAGATGTTCTTTTTCTAGTTCCTCAAAGCTCTAAATGAAACAATAGCACTGAAATTTTTTTTCGGAGGTGAAGCGAAAATTTCAAGCCAAAAATCCCTTCGTGAATTTTCCAATTTCGTTTCTCGGATAAATATAAGTTTTTTATGACTAGCTTTGGATATTTGATTTCAAAAATCAACCTATTCTATTCAGGCAAATGTTGTAATAGAATAATTAAAACATAGCCAAAATCAGTTGTAAAAGTTGCAACACTATGGTGTACAAGAAGAATAGGATTAAAACAGCAAGAGACTAAAGAACTATAAAAGAGGACTTCGAACGTTGTTTCCGTAGAGGAAACAAAAACATGGCCAACTGGCAGTTGGAAAAGAGTAATGCAAGGAACTAGAAAAAAAACAGAGTTGTTTTTTTTTTGGGAAAAAATCAACTTCCGAAGAAATAGATAGCTTTCACATTATTTGAATTGCTAGAATAATATATGATGGACACTTTTTTGATAAAATTAACCCAATTTCAGAAAACTGGATCAATAAGTAATTTTTTTATTTCGCTGGGAAATCTGAAAATTAAACTACTTCTTTCGAAACTTGAAGTCTATCACGTTTTTCGCGCTTAGCATTTTCGCCTTTGCTTTTCGATAGTGGAGTTTGCTTTCCTATTAACAAAGGAAATGACCTGAAGTTACTCAAAAAACAAACCGCAAAATAGTATTTTTGAGCCTGAACAAATTCTAAGACTTCCTGGAAAAAAAGGAAAAAATCATCGCGACCTATTTAGAAGTCTTAACTACGTTAGGAAAAAATTTGCTTCCTTGTATAAAGTGGCGGATTCAAATATCCAACATACCATGAAAGTCTTTGAATTTTAAGAATAATTTGTGAAGCTCCCCAATGATAAAAACAGGATCAATCGATTCCGTTTAAAAAATCGCATTCATTTTTTATTTGTGAGACCCATTATTTGAACCGCTTGACAATTTATGGCATGATTCAAAAACTTTCATGTAAATAAATAAGACAATGCAATCAAAATGATTTTTAAAGTTGCAAAAGCTATACTAATGATAGACGCTCTATCGTGCATGTAGTACAGTTATATGAACATGCTTTTTCAAATTCAAAAACTTAATAGCTGATATTTTGCAGACTGCTGCATTAAAACTATTGACAACAACGTACCTTACGAATAGTTTAAATTAAACTTCATGTCAATGAACCCCACTAGAAGGCGTGCAGAGCAAAGTACAACAACGCGATATATACAGTTAAGTGAAACTAGTACACAAAACTGTGTCACTTGGACTTTTGGTCAATGAACGTTTTTATAACCAGAATTATCAAGATAATCAAAATAGAAAAATAGATGGCAATGACCCATTGGGTTTATGCGCTAAAGGACAACCATTTCTGGCAACAAAGGACTACATAATCGAAACCAGAACGTCAAAAAACGAGATAGCATTAAATGATTAACCATCTCAAAATATTACTGAGTACAACTAAAGCGCAATTATAGTCTGATACTCTATATTGAGAAAACTTCTGTATAACATGCATATGTTAAAACTCCAAAAGAACAGTTTAGAGAGATTAATCGGTACAAATTAATTTAAGATAATAAGATGTTGAAACAATTTCTATTTCATTTTCTATTATTTTCTTTTTTTTTCAAATTTTACGAGGCCGTTATTCTCATTGGAAAATGATTGAAACTATTTCTCTGGCATGATTATGTTTTTTTTGCGAGATTCTTGTTATAATTGTTTAGAGGGTTGAATGGTTCTTTTAAAAAAACAATGTTATTGTTGAATGTGTCAAATGACTAGCTTGCCTTTCCAGTTGTGACGAATAGCTTGCCCAGTTTAGTGTGTCTGCCTCCGTAGGACGTGGTCACGAGGTCAGCAATACCACAGCTCTCGAAGAACACACTTCTGTTCTTGCAGCCATAGAACCTAATCAAAGACTCGCTCAACAGCTACCAGGCAAGGGATCTAAGTGCCACTGATCTCATTCTATAACATGAGACTTTCAGTATCTAGCTTCAAATACTCGATAGACAACTCTTATTGACTTTCAGTTATTCGTTATGCAGCCAAAAAAAATTCTGTTGAAATTCTAAGCAACTTTTCTCCATTGCGTAATCTTGACCCAATTTAAGCAAAATGAGTTCGAAATTTCAAATTTTGTTCCGTGTCCGGATAATTTAAATCAGCATTGTTGTTACTATTGCGAAGAGGCTTTGAAAAAGATGAAACCTTTTTCGCAATAATAAGGGCAGTCTGTATGTAAAGTTAATTCTAATTTTTTTAAACCAATTTCAAGTGCGGTTAACAAATGCTGGTAGAATATTTGCTTTATATTTGTCTCTTCCTCATTTGTTTTCTACTCGTTTTTCCTCATTTGTACTAGAGTAATTTTATCTAATGTTCAGATTATAGGCCAGCCGTTTCAAATCCAAAATAAGACTGTCCAATCAGAATTATGAATATCTTTGTTTAACGTATATTTATAACTCTTGAGAAATGAATCTTCTTCTTGTAAAGCGTTTTTGACAAAGATCGGTCGAAATTTCAAAAAAAAAAATCCAAAATCGGTCGAAGTTTCCAAAGGCTATAACTAACTTTCTACAAAAACTAGGGAGAAGCCGCTTATGCATAAAAGATTCCTACAACCTGCTTTTTCAGTTAAAACCATAATCTGTCTTAGCACGGCAGTTTTTGAGAAATTAAAAATTCCAAGTAAAAAGGTAGTTTTCCGAGGCCATCATTTTTTTTCAACAAACTACGAAGTAACCGCTGAAACATGGGAGACATCGACGACCATATGTCGATTGAACCCTTAATCCCAGATCTGGGAGGTAGTTTTTGAGAAAATCTAAGTTTCAAAAACCAAAATGACTAAAAATGGCATTTTATTGAGGCCATAACTTTGCTTAAAAAGTTAGAGCGTAGCTGCTTATGCAAGGGAAACCCTGATGACATCTTTTTCGATTGAACCTTCAAACTCAGATTTGTCAAGGTAATTTGGAGAAAAGAACCTGGAGCAAGGTACAGAACAAGAGACTATCGGGAATATGCAGGCACGTAGAGTGTATCGTGTGTGCATTGGTACAACACTTTTGAAAATCGCTGAAGTAAAAATCGTCCCATAATTATTCATAATACTTGTACTTGTTTTTATCAAACACGAACTAACACTAGCCACCAATAAAGCAGCCACAGATGCTATTTAACTGGGTATGGTTGGTAAGCTACCAAAAAGCCACCAACTGAGCACACTCTGCGCTTAGGTTAGATATGCATCGTGATAAAAAACGCAACGCTACTCAGTTGTAAAAAAACTACTTAAGACGGTTTGTTTTGTTTTTGTTCTTATGCTGAAAAAAAACTATACGAATGCTTAAGAACGTTAAGGAATTTATTCGACAAATGAATAACAAACAAAGAAAAAACAACATTAACTCGATCAAAATTAGCCTAAAATTCAAAAATTTCAATTCCGTAACTTCTCAATTTAGGGACAATTTCTTCAAAACTGTTCTATGTCGTTCGATTCACGCACATTATAGTTTTCGCCAGATTCATATTCTATTGTTCATATACTATTCGCCACATTTCAATGATTATCAGTGGTATCCGAATTTGCGTGAAAACACAAAATTTCACCTTTATTTTCATGTCCGGAACAAAAAGGATAGCCGGCTGCTTTACATAAAGCACAGAATGTTCGGATGACAACGATTGAAAAAAAAACCAAAAAGTTTATTAAAAAAAGTATATATATATTTGTTTTCTGCCAAAACTCCTTTTTTATATAAAATGTTTGAAATCATTAAAATGATCTAATGATTATATAAAATGTTCTTATTAAATTCGTGGCAGCCTTTTCCTAATACAACCTGAAAAACAAAAAAGTCAGTTCTTTCGACACTAAGAGGCCTTTTAAATAGTTTTAAAAATATGATATGAAACGACCCCTACGACTTTTCTGTCAAAATCGGCTGAAAAACAGTCCCTACGTCATAGTTCTTCCACGCCCCTAGCGGGTAGTCGGACGAAAATAGTCACCCCGATAAACGTAGCCAACTGAGTTGGAAAAGTAAGGGTGAACTCGGGGAGATCAAAAAATTATAAATTTGTTTTTTAACATTCAACCTTCGAACTTCATTATTGAGAAAAGTATTATATCAGCTTGAACATGAAATTTTTTTCCTGGAAAATCAATATATCTGAAGCTAGTCTCTTCAAATTACTCCTTGAAAAAGAACATTGAGCCCCAATCCCCAATGAACAAACAGGTCAGGTTCAAGGAATCGATGCCTCTACGCACCCCCAATCCAGGAGGCGCCAAATCCCATTCATCCTACATCGGTCTCGTGTCGAGAACTAAAGAGAGAGAGAGAGAGAGAGAGAGAGATAGAGAGTGTGTTACGCGAGAAGTACGGAGAGAGAGGATGACAAAAAGACACGAAGCAGAAAAACGGGAAAGACGAGAGAACAAAAAGAAGAAAAAAAATGTGTTTTCATCGATAGGGCAGCCAAAACAAGCCTACCTGCTCAAGTTCTTGTTACTTGTTGGGCTTCTAGTTCTCTCCTACTATTCCAAAGCGGAAAAGAATAAAACTCAGACCCGATTAAAAGTAGCATATATCGCATAAATTTCGCTTTTAACCAATATTATGTCTGGTGCCCTTCCGGAGGGTGGATTCACCACTTTAAATAATTTGCTTTCTAAAAACTAATCAAAACTCATGCATTTTAAATTTTACTAGGGAACTATGACCACTGCATTAGAAAACCCACTGATACCTTCAATAAAAAAACAACCTTAGTTGTTACTACTAAATAACCTTACTTGTTTCTCTACAAAACTAAATGAAAAGTGAATAGAGAGTTTGAGAGAATGGCAGTTTCCAAATGACACAAAACTTCTCTTGCCAAAATCTAAGGAAGGAGGGGCTAATTCCGCATGAAAAACACTCCCAACCGGTTTTTTTGATTGAACTTCTGATCTCAGATTTGATAGGGTAGTTTTAAGAAAACTCAAAAAAGGTCTGAAGTTCACAAAAATTCGACTTTCCGAAATCCAATGATTTTCTCTGCAAAAAAGCAGGTCGAGGTTGCCTAATTAGAGCAGATAACAAAAACCGGGTTTTTCGATTGAACACTCAACCTTAGAATTGGCACGTTAGTTTTGCAAAAAAGTCAAAAAAGTCAGGTGTAAAAAAATGTGAAGAAAACTTGGGCCTAGTCGCTTTTACAAAAGAGCTTCCCACAACCCACTTTTTGGACTGAAAACAAAATTTAAAAAAAACGGTCACAACATCACACCTTTAGTTTTTCCAAGGACGATAAATTTTGTAAAAACACTTGGACCTAGCTCTTGATGCAGGGGACCTTTCCCAAACAATTTTTTTTCATTGGAACCAAAATCTCAGTTTTGATAGCTTAGTTTTTAAGAAAACAAAAAAATTAAGAATTATGGATCAAATGCTCCCCCGACAAACTTTTTCGAAGGATGTACACAGGGGAGTAAAATAGAAATAGACTAGAAGTGTATGCAAGCACACCGGGGAGTAGGCAGTCTTTCAATCGATACCTTTTTGAAATTCTGTAGTTTTTGGATAAACTAAAACTTTTGGAAAAATGAAAACTTTCAAAGCGATGTCAACAATAAGCTGACAAAACTTGAGCATATAAATAAAAATCCAACACAACAACTTATACTGAAAAAATCAAATGCAAAAAAAAACGTGAAAAAACAAGGTCCAGTGTAATGAAACCATAGTGTAATGAATTCATATCTGGACAACCTCAACAACTGGCTTAAAATCAGAAAACTTTCTCTATGAACAAACTCTACTTAAAAAGAAACGACTTAAACACTTAAACGACTTGCTAACTAACTTCAGAGTAGCTCCAAAGAAACACTATGAACGACATAAGACAATTGAGAGGATTGTCCTGAAATATGCAGGTCCCTTTTGGACCCACACATTGAGTTACACCAACTCGCAGCGTCATCGAAAGAAACAGAACAATGAACTAACATCACTAGGAAGCTTAAGAATGTGTGACAACACACATCTAGATGACAAAACAAAAATCCTTCCGGCTCCAACATACAATCAAATCATCTCGAAGCAGTTCCTTCGCGACTGCTATCAAGATAATAGAGCCGACCATCACACTATCAACCATAATGAATTCGATCGGAACATCGGACCCACTATCGAACATAAATTTCAGCCCGGCATTAAGCGCCTGTTTACCAAACACCTAGCATGACCCAGAGGCGAAGCATGACACAGAGGAGAGCATATCTCAGGAAAGCATGAAACAGAGGCGAAGTTTCGCTTCGCAAACACCAGCCAGAATCCGATAAAAAGCAGCTCTATTAAGTGCAATTAGAAAAAGTAAAAATAAGCCCTAGAACTGGTAAAAATTCGTCTACGTCTCGGATTTGATTTGCGACCTAGAGAATATGATCCTCACGCACTTAATACTCAGCCACGGAGGCTTAATAAATCACCAACACTAGCCACAAATACAGCAGATAAAAAATGCTATGAAATTTCCAATGCTACATATTGTGACTATCAATGGTGCCACCAAATAAGTTAACATTTTCAGTTGCTAGTTAGTTTAGAAAAAAGCTTCGTACTAATATACTACGCTGCTGGCTAGTGTAATTGTAACTGTGGAGTAAAACAACTTCAAGCATCAAAGGTACAAAAGTTTTTTAATCCGACGACTGCCTACGTTGTTACATAGGACCACTGAGCATTTATTTAATTACCGAGTACATCCTGCCTCCATTACAATCGAGAGCTTGTGGGAGAATCCCAAAGAAGCTACCGAACATCTGCAACTTCTCACGAAACCTCATATAACGGGAGTTTTTTTGGGTTGCCCTCAAAAAAATTACCCGCTTAAACCAGGCATGGAGAATCAGTCAGTTCTCCACACGCCAAAAATCATGGCCCCTAAAATATGCACTTTCTACCGCAAACAAACCTCCCTCTTGAGCGTGCTGTATAGACAGAAGGTGTCGACACCAGCACGAAGACACAGTGACTGGAACAGTTTGTTCCCCTTCTATGTCTGTTTTGGAACAGGAGGCCCTGGGGTAACTGCAAAGATAGATTTGACTAGACGACCCCAATCAACCCAAATATAAACGAAATTTTTTAAATTTCTCTTTATCTTTCACACATAATCGATATCTCCAATCAGAAGTTCAAGGCTCAGATCGATGTACCAACCACAACAACAAACAGGTAAATGATACTAAAGAAACTCACTCCTCAGCGAAAGCCATCATTTCCATCAGCCCAAGTCTGATGATGGCGCACTTGGTATTGTTGCCCATGCCCAAAGCATCTACGAAGCCAGCACCCAGGGCAATGATGTTCTTCAGGGCTCCACAGCACTCGACAGCAGTGACGTCATCCACCCACGCACACCTGAAGAAGGGCCTGTTGAACACCTGCTGGAAGATGCGCCCCTGTGACTCGTCTTTGGTGGCTGCATAAAGAAAACAAAAAGCAAAATGGGAAAAACAATAAAAGACCGAATGAGCTAATAACAACACTAAATGATTGAAATTTTTGAGGCCGGAATAATGGTCTGCGTTAAGGTGAACCAAATGAAAATGAAAACATGACACTAATCAGAATACCTATAGTAGCTTCTGCAAACTGCTCCATAGCGATCTCATTGGCAAGATTTGCTCCCATTAAGGCCCCGCAACTGATGTTTAGAGTGTTCTTAACTACATCTGAAATCATGATCAGATCATTCTCCGTCACTTCGAAACCCTGAAACGTATATCTGGACTGCACTAAATTCATTAAATCTTTCAATACAAAACAAAAAAGTTAGACTGCACTAGGTTTTTAAAATATTCGTCCATCAAGTATGTATGCTAGCGGTGTTTTAGCAACTTATGCACTGACCCGTCACATGATAAAGGGTCCCATCTTAATTAACCTTTCAAAAAAGACGCTCGAACTCTTTAGAGCAGCGAAGAATTAAAGCTGTTGGCACTTATATCGGTGTACATGAACATCGTGCTTCTTTTACGCATATTTTAAAGTGCATTATTTTTTTTACTTTGCAAAGGGAGATGGCGAATGCGTCTTTGCGAACTAAGTCTTTGATTGATTCACAGGTCCCTTTCACGAACTGGTGTGGCAGCACAAAAATCAGGATGTTGGATCCCGCAATAGCATCTTTGACATCAGGAACAGCGACCTAACACACAACACATTGAAGACAGAGGCGAAGCTGCGCTACGCAAACACTAGCCGGAATACGACAAAAAGCAGCTCTATAAAGAGCAATAAGAAAAAGTAGAAGTAAGCCTCGAATAAGTAAAAAAAACTCGGCTATGTCTCGGATTCGCACCTTCGCTCTAGGGCTTAAGAGTCTCACCCTCTAGCCACTTAGCCACGAACGCTTTATTAATTACAAACACTAACCACAAATAACAGATGCTATGCAATTTCCAATTTTACAATGAAATTTCCAAATAAGTGGACACTTTTATTTGCGATTTACGTTAGAAAAAAAAGCAGGTTCGAACTAATAGACTACCGCTCGCAAGATGGCTAGTGTAAATACAAACTAAGCACATTTGAAGATGTTTGTCACAATTTTTATCTGCTCTGAAAAACGAACACAAGCTAGAAAAAATACGGTCTTTCAAATTGCGATCAAACTAAGCTAATACTAAGCTAGACAAAAATATCCAGTTACTGTGCATTTAGCACAAGAAGTTTCATCATAGCAAAATTCAAAAAAGGACAGCGCTTACTTTTTTCTAACTGATTAATGTGGTCGGTAATAGTAAATTATAAAAGGGGCCCTTCCGTTTAGGTACGGTCGTGCACAAGCTGGATAGGGCCCATACCAGCATTATATAAATACATCAATAAACAATATTGCAGGAATTAAGTCAAGTCAGCATTTAATGCATTGTCATTTAAGGTATTTACTTCAACCGTCCCTCCTCTACAACAGCACTAATTGAATTGTCTATGAATTGCGTCTTACGCAGTGATCTGCAACCCCGTATACAAAGGATAGCGCTCCTGAGCAGTGCGAAGCTTATCTTAGTTCTTATATAATTTGTTTCTGCGTAGCTTTCATGCTTTTTTTCACTAAAAATTGTGCTAATTGTGTAATTGTCGGTAATTATGCTGAAGTTCAAGAGCCTAGTTAACGTATTATCAATTGTTGCAAGTCGCTCTATCATGGGCTACTAACTAGAGCTTCTAACTCTTGGCTTGACGGCTCTATTAAAAATTTGTAGGAAAATCAAAATTTTTACATCCATTTTTTACACTGAAGTTCTGACCAACTTTTAAGGTTCGATTTAGCTTGAATATGATAAATCACTCAACTGCATGGTCAAAACACTTAACATCACACTTGAACAGCTGGTAATTTCATACTTACAACGTTATCGGGTAATTTCGTTCCCGGGAGATATTTAACATTTTCGTGATGTTGGTTGATATACTCGGTCAACTTATATTCTTTTCCGTCCACTTGAATTTTCTCTTCAAAAACCCACATGTTAACTTTCTTCTCGAACAAAGAACTCTTCTCTGCACAATTTGTTCCCACCATTCTTGCAATTGTTGTGCCCCTTTAAATATAGAACATGATAAATCATGTACATAAGAAAGTTAGAATTTAAAAGTAAAAAAAAAAACTCACCAATTACCGCTTCCAATAACAGAAACTTTGTTAGCCATGGTTGTTCTAAAGATATTAACACTTTTTTTATATATAAAACAACTTAGTTTTGAAAGACAATCTGCAGCCACTGAATCAAATTTCTTCTAAAGTTGAAAAAAAAAAACAGCAAACAAAATTTTTATTCAGCTATGTGTTAAAAATTGAAGAGACTACCATAAACTAAGAAAAGAAACACGTCGTCTAGTTACCAGGACCAAATTATTAACACCACTCCTCGTCTGTTTAACGAAATAGAGAGAAGTGGTGTTTGTAACATACGCCCGGAAGTGCTTACCGACGGAAAATAAAGCTAGGACCTTAAACGACTGGTTAGCTTCCAAACACAGCTTCACAAGCTTTTAACCGTCTCTACCAGAGCCAGTTCAATGTGAGGTCCATTAAAATCGAGTCGAAAAAGTCGTTACAGAAAAAGAACACTTTATTTGCACATCGAAATTAATTTCAATACACGAGTGTATGTCAAATGTTTTCTATCAATTCAAAAAAATATTAAAACATCATTAGACACGCATAGTTACAATAAACAAAAAATCTATTACAATTATCGATGATTACTTTTCACCCGAGAGCTTCAAGGTGGTTTATATATAAATGTTATTATATAAACGTGAAGCTTTTCCATGAAACTTTACCATGAGTTGCCACAGAGGGGTCTTCTTAAATAATAATAAATAATAATTCTTGAATATTATCTTTGCTTTTCTGTATGTAAGTATGTCTTTATCATCTGTTAGTTTGTTCCAGATTATGACAGACTTTTTAAAGAAGGAATTGTCTATGTATTGCTCCTTGTATCTGTCGCCGAAATATAATTTGTTGTTTCTTGTATTAATATCTATTTGGTGGTTATCATACTCAATGTTTTTATAGGCTGGCAATAATGGATGTTGTATTTTTCAAAAGTGACATAATATTTTTATAGTCAAGAAACATTGTTACTGTCAATATATTGTGTTTTAGCTTCAGACCTGAAGATGAGTCGTATTTTGCACGATCGCAGCAAGTTTTTATTGCCCAGCTTAACTGTTTTTCCAGAGATATCATTGAGTTAGCGAATATTCCCATTAAAAGAATTGCTGGGTAATGCAAATGACTAATTACCAGTGCATTCATTATTGTAACATTCGCCCAAATACTACACAGCGACGGAGCGTAGGAAAAGTACCTATTAACGACTGGCAGGCGTCAGTTACCTTAATCCTACTCGCTTTTCACCGTCTCGACCTTGCCAGTTGATTTTCTGGTCTGTCTAGGGCTAACTAAAGAGTTACCATTTTTAGGCCATCAGTCAAACGACTTTTGATCAGCTTTCGTTTGCATGCGAACACAACCATATAGCTGAGTCTCGGATCCTCAGACTACGTGATTGTCATTAAAAACACGGCTCGAACAACCTATTTTAATATGTTTTTGTGTGACAGTTCTATATTAAATCCATTGGAGATGGATTGACCCTTTCCTCTTTCTAGCTACTCATATTCTGAAATATCAAACAATAACGGTGTTAATTAAGAGATCTATGACATTCCAGTAGCTATAAAGTTAGTCTATACAGTCCCTTCACATAGAACAGTCTCTGGGGGACCAAGCCTCCGCTCCCGTAATATTCCTGAGATAACGCTCTTATCTCTTCCAATTTGTGTCCCGGGAGGGTTCCGTGGTGTATTTCTTCCCCCACTGAAGCCTCCTTCTCCACCAATATCTGTTGACAAGTGTCTTATCGTGCGTTGTTGCCACGATAAGAGGCTTCGTACTTTCCGTCTCTCGTACGACTGTTTTTCACAATATCTGTCGTTGTTCTGATTTTCGTCACTTTTTCAGTCAAAATGGCCGTTTTTCGTATTTCTGAGAAATATTCTTCTTCCAATCGAAATTTTAAAAAATATTAATTCTAGAATATTCCGATCCTCCTTCGCAATGCTTTTTTGTCAATAAGGCCTTCAGTCGTTCTTTTTTACGTCGCCAGAAGGTTGTGCTGTGCCAGTTTGGCAGAATGGCACATATCAAGAGTCTTGGTTTTACTGGCAAGGGCTTTTTGATTGATTGAAGTGTTTTTGTTCAGCATGCCATTTTCCTGAGAACTTTTTTGATATCTGATCTAAAAGAGAAACTGATCTAAAACTACTCCTAGGTTTTTAACACTGTTTTTTTTCTTCAACTAATTTATTATCTAGATTTATAGTATACTTTTTATCCTTTTTCCTTGAATGTTTTTTGCAGAAAACGATGAGTTCTTTTTTTTGCATTCAACTGAAGTGACTGTTCTAAAAAATAATTTGAAAACAGACTGCAATTGGCTTCGAGTGCTTTAAGAACTTTTGTGGATCGTCATTTTCACAGAATAGTAATGTATCAGCCGCATGTTGAACTATTTTACATGTTTTGTCAATTTGTTTGTTGAGATCGCTAATGTAGAGATTGAATATTAGAGGGCCTAGGACAGTGCCCTGTGGGACACCCTGCTCAAGTGCAATCCAACCGCATTCGGTGTTATTAACAATTGTTTTCTTGCTTCGGTTGGTGATAATGCTTTAGAGAGATCCAGTAAGGAACATGCTACAGTTTTGTTGTTGTCTATTGCTTTTCTGAATGCTTCAGTGCAAAAAAGAAAAGCGTCGGTTGTTGAATATGATGTTCTGAACCCAAATTGGGTATTACTTAGTAATTTTTTGGATATCAGATATTCGTTGATTTGTTTATATCACAACTTTTCAAAAACTTTCGAGAGAGCCCCAGTTATAGAGATAGGCCTATAATTTTCTGGTAGTACTGGATCCCCTTCTTTGTATATTGGAGTGACAATTGCTTTTTTGAGCTTGCAAGGATATGTCTTGATTTTCAAAAACTCATTGTATAGAAATGTTAGATGTGTGTATATTTCATTGCAGCCATCCCTCAATGCCCAGGCTGGAATTTTGGATGGACCTGGTACCTTTCGACAATTTAAACTATGTATTTTTTTTACATTCAGCTGATGTGATGAATTGGAAAGAAAATTTATTAATAGTTTGAATGTTGCATGTAGAAGTCGGTGGACTTTGCCTCATTTTCGAATTTTTCTCATAAAAGCATCCAAGAGTTGAGAAATTGTAATTTAGCAGGTTCGCCATCTAAAAATTATTGGTTATGAAATCGTCGAAAGAGTTTCTGATTAAGGGAATGAGATTGGGAGATTTTTTTTGAGTTTCTTGTGTCGTATATTATACTCCATTTTTCGCGTTCGCTTTTTTTCGAGTTAAACAGTTGGGATATAAATTTATCATCTTCGTAGTTTACCTTTGGTTTGTCGTTGCGAATGAAAATAGTCTTCTGTGGGGCACAGTCTTTAATGGTGTCAGCGATGTTATGTGTTAAGATGTCGAATACTAATTCGGGATTATTAATGCTATAGAAACTTCTCCGATTTATAGCTGATAGTTTTTGTTTGAATTTGTAATAGGAGTAATTGGATTTGTCATATATTTTACCTTTGATTGGTCTTACGTTGTTCTTCAGCTAAAGTTCTGTTCTGAACGCTGTTGCTTGGTGGTCGGTCTTAATTGGTGGTGTGAACACTATTGAATTATTTGTGAGATCTTTTATGCTTAGGTCGGTGATAATATAGTATATTAGTGCTTTTGAGTGAGTAGGTGTTGATTTGTTAGTGACGTCCTGATTATATGGTTTTAAGATTGTATCTAAAGACTGTTTGTCGTCTTCCTTGAAATAGTTCAGGTTGTAATCTCCTAGTAAAAATAGGTTTGAATTAAATGACTGTGCATGGTCAATTGATTTGGCTAGATCCTCTAAGAAGTCTGTTTTGTTGTTTCTATTAGGATTGTAGGCTAGGTTTAATAGAGTGGTTCTATCATTTTTGTTGAGTCAGGCTTTAAATTCTATCCAGATGCTATCATACTTTTTGAGCATGTTGTATAAGTCATGTCTTACCTATGTGTTTAATTTTTTAGGAACCAGTAACATGACCCCTCCACCCTTCAATTTTTTCACTTGATTCATAAATTCTATCACATCGGTACAACTTATCTTTGTAATTGTCTATTGCCTATAGTTTATCGTCATTTGTATCATTGAACCATGTCTCGGAAAATCCGAAAACTGTATTATCATAAAAAGTTTCAATAAGTTGTTTGAGATCTGAACGCGTTCTAGGTAAACTTCTACAATTAAGGTGTACTATTTTAAAGTTGTTGTTGCAGTGTTCCAGTGTTTTCCTTATTTGACTGAATTCCATAAAGGGTTCTGGATTTGGGTGGATATCTTGATGTTAGGAGAATTTTATGAAGGGACCTTTCTTGTTTTTTGTAGGTCTTGCTTGTGTTTTTTATATAATAGCTGTAATAGTATTAGCGTATATTATTAAGTATAGTACAATAATATTTGTTCGAGTATATTGTGGCAACCCGTGGAAAAAGATACTTTCATTTCTTTTTATTCAGTACCTTATAAGCTACAATTTGATCGCTTTCGCAGAAACTGATGACAGATACGCTAGTTAAGACAAAAAATAACAGCATATCGTTCTGTAGAACAATTTTAGTTAAAACTACAAAGAACAGTCGTTTAACAAAAAGATGGTCTTAATTAGCATTACTTAAAAATGAAAACCTTGCGAGTAGTAATATGATTGCTGGTTACGATTCAGATTATGGTTATAATTACTATCACAGCCCCATGAATTTTTGTTGAAATTATTTTGACCAGTTTGTCGGCCATGACCAGTTTGTCGGCCATATGGGTGCATGCGATTGTTACTATAGGGTCGGTTGGTAGACTTATAAACATTATTATGTTGATAATTGAAAAGCGATGTTTGGTTGGAATTTGCTTTTGCAGTATAATCAGGGGCTGGTTTTACGCTCGGGAATTTACTTGAGTGTTTGAACACATATGAGCCGAGGCAATTGCGCAAAAATGGTATAACCAATTCATCGTTCAGGTGTATAGCGTCAAAATATAAACTCTGATAGCTCTCCAAGCTTTTGATGTTTGAATTCAGATTTAGCACC